GCATCTCCACTAATCCATGGGCTCCTGATACCCATATATTTGTTGAGGACAACGCTTCCCTCATGCTGACTCTGTCGCCGGGATCGATGAGGTGATCCCCTCCTCTAATTCTAATTATGCTCATGGCCCAGATGGGTTTTCGGTCACCTTCTTTAAGAAGTTTTGGCCAGTGCTAAAACATCTTGTTTACACGATTATCATCGGATTTTGCTTAGGCACGGTGATATCTCCAGGCTGAATTATGCTATCATCTCTTTAATAGCTAAGGTGAAGGGTGTTGATTTCGTTCGCCTCTATAATCCTATCGCTTTAATCAATAACATCCCTAAGTTTCCTTCCAAAGGTTCAGCGACGCGTCTTTCTCCTACTGCACATAAGGTTGTAGGCCAACAGCAATCGGTCTTCATTAAAGGTCGATTTATCTTAGATGGTATTCTTAGCCTTCACGAGATCATGCATGATTTAAGAGTTAGGCAGTGCAATGTCGTGATCCTAAAGTTAGACTTCGAGAAGGCTTATGACTCAGTTAGTTGGCATTTTCTTCATGACGTGCTCTAGGCCAAAGGGATTGATGGTGCGTATGTCTCGCGCCTTATGTAGTTGGTCTATGGTGGTCACACGGCTATCTCGGTTAATCGGATGGTGGGCCCTTATTTCAAAAATGATCGAGGCCTTAGGCAGGGTGACCCCATTTCACCCCTGCTTTTCACCTTTGTAGCTGATGCTTTCTCGTGTATTCTTAACCGTGCTATGGAGGCGGGTCATATCTCTCATGTTATTTCTCATCTAATTTCGGCTGGCATTTCTCATCTGCAATATGCGGATGACACGATCATTTTGGCTGAGAATAACTATCGGTGTATTCTGAATCTTAAATTCCTTCTGCTCTGCTTTGACGGTTTATCTGGCCTCAAAATCAACTTATATAAGAGCGAAGTTTTTGTTACAGTAGCTTCTAATGTTGTGGCTTGTCGTGTGGCTAACCAGCTCAATTGCAACTTGGGCTCCTCCCCCTTCAAATACCTTGGGCTACCTATCTCTCCCTTCAAATTGCTTTCTAAGGACTTTACCTTCTCGGTTATCAAGGTTGGTAACCGAATTATGCCCTAGAGGGGGCGCTACAACTCGACGATTGGTAGGGTTTGTCTCATCAATGCGATATGTCCTCCTTGTCTATGTTCCTCATGGGTTTCTACCGCTTGCCGGGGGTACACACGTGGGCTTTGATAAACATAGAGGTGGCTTTTTCTGGAATACAGCGGATAATAAGAAGAAATATAGAATGGTCAAATGGAAAACGACGTGTCGCCCTGATAACCTTAGTGCGTTGGGTATTATCGACCCTTCGATTATGAACAAATGCCTTATTTTGAAATGGTGGTGGCGCATCCTTTCTTCTGACTCTGAGTCTCTCTGGTTGTGGATTCTCAAAGATAAATACTTCCGAAACTCTAATCCTTTGTTTGCTTCGGGAGCTGGCCGCTCCCAATTTTGGCGTCAATTGGTGAAAGTTCATGATGACTTTCGAGCGCTGGTTAAGTTTTCTGTTGGTGATGGTTCCTCGGTTAGGTTTTGGTTAGATTGGTGGTCTGGGGATGACCCGCTCTCGGTTTCTTTTCCTGTTCTCTTTTCTTTTGTTGCTTCCCATTTGATCTACATCGCGGAGCTCTCGACCAAACAGTGGGACCTTGGTTTTCGTCGGGCCCTCTCGCCTGTAGAGCTGGAAGATTGGCATCGTATCGCTGCCTTATTCCCCTCGCTCTCAGATTCTGCTGATGTGGTCTCTTGGCCACACTTGTCGCCTGGTTGTTTTTCTGTTAAGTCTTGCCATCGTAAGCTTTGGTGGGTCCGGTTGTTTCTCGCTTCAATGGAGTCTGAAAGGCTCACATTCCTCTCACAATTAAGATTTTTATGTGGCAGGCAATCTGTGACCAGTTGCCCGCTGCAAATCAAATTAAGAAGGGGAATGATCTTGGTTCTGATGTGGCCTTGCGAGGATACTGAGCACATCCTCTTTCATTGCCCTTTGGCTAAACTTTTCTAGAGCCGCCATATGGAATGGCTACGGTGACTTGGGCCCCGAATAGCTTTGGTGAGCTTAGAACCCTCGTGTCCCCGCTTATGGGTCAGACTATGAGGTTTTTTTTGGTTCGGATCCTCAGCTATGTGCTAGACTCTACGGACTACTAGGAATAAGTTTACTATTAAACCCGTGTTCCCTAACAAGGTTGGTGATTGCATTTCTAAAATGTCTATTCTCATGCAGCAATGTAAATCTCTGACTAAGGACAGCGACAAGGTGGCTGTGGAGGTTTTGGTGATTGCGTTTTTAAAATGTCTATTCTCATGCAGCAATGAAAATCTCTGACTAAAGACAGCGACAAGGTGGCTGTCGAGGTTTTGATCTCTTGTGTGCGGGCTACGGCGAACTCTTTGTTGGGCTCTTGTCATCGCCTTGTTTGTCTCTAGTTATCTTCGTTAGTCTAGCCTGCGTGCTTTTCTTCCCGGTTGTGGTAGCCCTCTTTGTTGTATGTACATCTGCACTGGGTTGGTGTGTTTGTTTGGAACTTTGTCTGTGATGTTTGGTGGCTTTATTGATTTAAAATCAGGACTTGGCCTTTCCTCAAAAAAGTACTCCCACCATTTTAAAATAAGTGTCTTAATACTACTGCAATTTTATACTAAAACCAGTACAATGTTGAGACACTTATTTTGAAACGAAAAGAGTAGATGGAAAAACATACAGAAGAACAAATACAAATGGGAAACGTTGGGTACCGGCGGACCGGCCGAAGCTTCGGCCGGTCGCGCACGCACCGCTCTCGATCGTGTAGTCATCCACGGCTCAACATCTCCCGATCCACGTTTGCATCGCTAGCTTTCCCTTTCTTGGCCCATCACGTGCCCGTGGCCCAGCACGTACGGCCGCTCGTTCAGCCTTCCTCGTATCTTCTTCACATGAGGAGCGCACTGGTTGCTCAAAAAAAAACCAAGGAGCGCACCTAGGTCATCTTCAAAGCTTTATCTTTCACCAACTGCTTGCTGAAGCTTCGACGTGGGTCAGGGAAAGAGCTGCAACCACAACCCGATGAAGCTGCATCCGTTTGTCGGCTATGTTGTGACCGTGGCGACCATGGCCATGCCCACATCATCATGGCGCTGCGAGCTCGAGGGCCGGTGGGGGTGCTGCGTGTTGCGACTGTGGTGATTGTGTGTTGGACCAACGTCATGGCGTGCTGGAACCAGTGACAATTTTTGCTGCATCGCCTCATGGTGGAGCTTGGACGCGACGGCAAGGACAACAATTTTTGTTGCAACTGTCATTACAATCGATGAGAAAAATTTGCTACATAAATTAATGCGAGAGATGCAACCTGGGACGACAACGAGGACAATTTTTGTTGCAACTATCGTTGGATTTTGCTACAATGGTTGACAAAATTTTCTACATCTCTCGTTATTTTTCTGCTACATAAATCTTTATTTTTCTGCTTCCTTCTTCCTATATTGCCTCGTTGCTTCTTTCCTCTCTCGTTAGGCTGCGAGCATCTCCTTTCTCACGCATCTCAAACTGTTCCCATGCCGATGCTACAACTGGACCGATCTTTTGCTGGAATAGGTGGCAATTTTTGCTGAAATCGGCGTTGCTTTTTGTTGCATGTGTGCTGCAACCAGATCTATGCAACCGGAAAGCTGAAACCGGCACGTGAGAAAGCAACAACCGTCCATGAAAAAACATCAACCGGCTATGGCTGAAGACGGCCAGTGCTGCAACCATTGGCAGAAAAAGGTTCAACCGTATATGAAAAAGCTTCAATCAGGCACTATGCAGCGAAAAAAGGTGCGACCATAGATGAAAAAAGCTTCAACCGGACAGTGCGCAACAGAAAAAGTTACAACCATGGATAGAAAAAGCTTCAACCGTAGATGAAAAAAAAACTTCAACCAAAGACAGGCAATGAAAAAAAGCTTCATAAAGGCTCACGTTTCCACGGAAGCTGCAATTGGCGTCGGCGGGTGCTGCAACTGGCGAAGACCAATGCTACAACCAGCGATGGTGAAGCTGCTACCGTGCAGTTCATAGCTACAACCCGACATGAAAAAAGCTGTGACCAGCGAGCATGGAAGCTACCACCGGTGACGAGAAAAAGCTACAACCGTCGAGCACGAAAGCTGCAACAGGTTGACAAAAAAGCTACCACCGAGTAGCCCAGAAGCTACAACCGGCGTGCAAAAAAGTTTCAAACATCGCGTGATTTTGTTGTAGCTAGCCCAAGTCTTTTTACAAGAGCTTCCACCTAGAGTTTTCCGACGCGAATCCAGTTGAAGCTAGCTCATCGTGCATGTGCTACTATAGATCGATTAAGCTGCTTGCATGCTTGCTTTGCACGTACGACGTACACTCTTAGACGATTTGTCTAGCGTTATAGATCCAACACGGAGCGTGGTTTTGGGCGTGTGCAGGCGGCTCGGCTAGTCGAAGACGAGCGCCGGTGGCCGACAAGCGCGAGCGGCACGTTCGTCCGGCGAACTGTGCGGTCTTTTTTTTTTGTTTTGTTTGCGTACGTTCAGGTCAAACAGACGAGGAAATCTAACGACAGAGGGCGTTTTGATCCAACGTGCGCGTGCGGACCGGCCCGCGCCTATCGCTGCCCAATACAAATTTACCGTCAACCGCACCGTAGGATTCATGTGTTCGCCACATACTTAACTTAATATAATAATATGTTTTTGACTCTACGACAATGTCAAAAAAAACGTCGTATATTAAGTTACGAAAGGAAGTATTTCCGTAACGAAATTCCTCTAGACGACACAACTGAAAACAGTCGTACAACGTGGAAGTCTTGGAAAGTACCCGATCTTTCAAAAGGTGCCAGAGTTGAAAATGAGATATCTGTAACCAACAACACAACTGAAAATCCATGATTACTTGGTACTCTCCACGTTTCCCGACAAGTCAAAACCATTCTCAAACCTCAACTGCATCCAATATGGAACTAAAGTTCCTCAAATCCTTCTTCATCAGCGTCCTCCTCTGTTCTTTCAAAATGCGTCCAGAAGCTCTCCATCTGTCAACACATGCAAACAAGGAAAATGGGGTCAACTTGAAGTATAACTGTGTTCTTTTTAGCCTCTCAACGATTCAATCATTCGTGCAATCGTTCTCTTTTGGTTCAATCTGTCTATTCAAGTCACATGCACTATTTGGTTTATCTAACTGGGTCTATTTGGTTGCACCATTAACAATATGGTGCTGCCGATATATGTCATGGTGGATTATTAACTCAAATAAGAGATGCAATAATTAGCTACTACTCCCTCCGTTCCTAAATATTTGTCTTTCTAGAGATTTCAAATGGACTACACATACGGATGTATATAGACATATTTTAGAGTATAGATTCACTCATTTTGCTTCGTATGTAGTCACTTGTTAAAATCTCTAGAAAGACAAGTATTTAGGAACGGAGGGAGTAATAAACTTTATACTTTGCTTTCAAGATTCTACGAGAATGATATATCAGAAATCTCCCAAGGACGTTAATATGATCAATTTAGTCAATCGCCTTATTATATTTAATTTAACTGAACTCGCACTGGCTTACATTAATGACCATCACACCATGTAGTAACAGATATCTTAGTTGGAAGTGTCTAGTCCTATACTCCCTCCGTTCCTAAATATAAGTCTTTGTAGAGATTTCACTATGGACCACATACGGATGTATCTAGATGCATTTTTAAGTATAGATTCCCTCATTTTGCTCCGTATGTGGTTCATAGTGGAATCTCTTCAAAGACTTATATTTAGGAACGGAGGGGGTACATTTTTAGGACTTTGTTGATGAAAATCGGATGGCCACAGGGGGCTCAATTACCAAAACAGTTGAAGGGCTTAAGATGCAATTTGGCAGAGAAATGTTCAAGTGTAGCAATAGATACAACTAACATTGAACAACACATACCAAATCCTTTGGCTGTCCAATCACTCGAGAGATTGGAATCAGGAGGTTAGGAACAAGGTCCAGATGTGAGAAAAAAAGATGGACAGGTCCCTCGTGTAAAAATGATGTCATTATAAACTATTCCAGTTCATACCAATCCCCAAAATTATCAAAGGCAAAACTGAAGTTAAGTGTCTTCCATTGGCTTTATTACCTGTGCATCTGAAAACCGCAGCTGTTCTGCAACAAAAAGAACTCTACCACAATGTTCCCTTTGAGGAGCTAGATCTAAGCCGAAATCCTCTGCAACATTTTCATAGAGAACAAAGCTAACCCGGAAACCCTGGGTAAAGAAAAGGTTTTCTAGCCTGTCTTGTTCGGAGACCTGCATAGCGTAGGACAATGACAGTGTTATAGATAAAGAATTTACAAGTATATTGATGTTATTTTGTACTGTAGTAAATAATTGATCAACCATGTCTGCTGCTGCCATCCAGTCTGGAAAATGTGGCACCTCTCCTATGAAGATACCCCCCTTCATTGCTAAATTGCTTATAACGAGCAAAAGGCTTTTGAAGCTTGAAGAAGAGGGCAAAGGTAAACCCTGCAATGCCATGGAAGTTTTGTTACACCAAATGCAGTTTCTAGAGCTTTCCCTATTGAATAGAAGACCAGAAAATTTGATGTTTCTATAGAATTTCCCAAATTTCCCAATGCAGATTAAACTTCTGATACAGAAGAGCGAGATATTCTCGACAGGGAAGTCAACTTCAAAAGGTATATTTTGCTCACTTCTGGCATATTTTGATTGGGTCATGGTCGAACGAGTTTCTTGGAAGCATGGTAATGCGTTTGACAGTTACGGTTTACTCAGAGCATCGCCACTCGCTGCCCCCAACAGGCCCCTTTTTTATCGCCGGCTTGAAAAAATCGGCCCAATCGCGCCCCCAGGAGCCCAAATTTCGCCGGTTAGGGCCGAAATTGGCGCTGGCGGACCCAGGCCAAACCCGACGCGCTGGGGGCGACCGGGGGCAAATGGATTTGGCGCGAAAACTGGTGGACCCGCCGAGTCAGCGACTGGGCGACGCCAGGAACCTTCGTTGTCCTCATCGCTCGGTTCCCGCGAGAATCAATGTGAAGGCTGACCAATTCATGGGCGGCGCAACAAAGGCGGGACCCGAGTGCCGCCGCGCGTCCCGCCCCCTCCCGCCACGCGTCCACACTGCTGCCGCCCGCTCGCCGCTATAAAACTGCCTCCCTCACCGATGGCCGCACACTTCCCACAGCCTCTCTCTCTCGCCGCCGACACCTCTCTCTCTCGCCGCCGACGCCCCTCTCTCCTTCGCCGTCGACGCCCTCTCTCTCCTTCGCCAACGATGGACGAGCGTTTCCCCGGCGACGGAGCGGCAGCCAACGGCTTCGGCAGCCGCCATCTCCACGAGTGGGAGGCGCGCCTCCTCCACGAGGCGGACTACCCGGCACCGCCCGACATGCGCGTGCCGGGCTCGTGGAGGCTCAGCGCCGGAGGAGTCCCCGTGCCCCCGCCGCGCCGAGATCGCGCGGATCCGGTCGGCGCTGCCGGAGGAAGCGCGGCAGCAGGCCAGGTACGCCCCCGACAGCACCAACCTCTGGACGGCCTACTTCAAACGCCGCCACGCCGACCAGCTCGCGTCGACGAACGGCGCTCCGGCACCACGGGGACGGCACAACTCGGACGGCCGCCGCCAGTGGTGGGGAGTCCCCGAGCGCACTCTCCACGTCGTCCTCAAGCACATCGAGGGCGGCAACGCGCCGCGGATGGAGTACCCGGTGCCATCCTTCTCGCGCCGAAGCGGCAGCTCGTGGCTGGCGAGGTGCATGGCGGCCGCATCGTGTTCTTCCTCCGGTCCCACTCCTCCGGCACACCGACGCCGCTCGCTGCCATCAAGGCCGAGCCCCAAGAGACACCGGAGCGTCGGCGTAGCGACAACCTCATCATAAACGAGGGCCGCCGCCGCCAACCTTCCCCTCCTCCCCGCGGCCATCTTCGCCTGGTCAGGCCGAAGGAGCCGGCGACGCCGCCGCCAGTCGTCAAGCAGGAGCACCTCGACATGGCCGCCGACCTCGAGACCGGGCTAAAGTGGGCGCGGGACGACTACGTCCGGGACGAGATGGAGCGCCAGCGCCGCGCCCTCAAGGAGATCGCTGCTCGGCGCCGCGGTCGCGACGAGGGCGGCGTCGTCATCCTCGACGACAGCGACGAGGAGGCGCCCGGGCTGTCCAACCCCGTCCGCCACAGCGACCCAGGGCAGGGCTGCAGCAAGGACGGCGGCGGCGTGCAGGACGACGACGACGGCGGCGACTACACCAACTTCTACAGGCTCCTCGGCATGTAGAAGGCTCAGGCGGCGGCGGCGTAGTTTTAGTTTAGTTTTTTAATTATGTTTTTAAGTTTGTACAAATATCAATGAAAACGCCTGAATTTCCTCCAAATTTGTGTCATTCTGTACAAAGTTTAGCCGAATTTGGTTTTCAAAAACCGGCGTCGGTTGGGAACCCGACCGCCCCCACGGCGAAAAAAGCGCCAGCTAGCTCCCAGGAGACGCTATTTGAGTCCCTGGGGGAACCGAACGGCTGGAGATGCTCTCAGGCTCAACCCGCAGCTAGTTCAACCACCACTTCTTCAGTTGGACGCTAACCCTGAATTCAGGGGTCATACCTTGGCCACTTTAAAAGAACCCCATAGGGAGGTAAGTGGGCCCTAGAGTGCCAGCCACATCAAAACAGGGATAAGAGTCCCTAAACTCTTTACGAATAGGAAGTCTGGATCTGTTAAGAGATATTTCAGGTTTGTTATTTTCCACACACATACTTATCTTGTTTGTGTTCCCCATCCTTGCATGTAAGCTAGCTATTAAATGACTGGCCCTATTTGATTATCAAGCAAGCAAAGTGTTATCCGATGTACCCCTTTCCCCTTTCAAGTCCTGCCCTGCAGTGCCATTGCACCATCTTTGACTATGCGTCATGTCACAAGGGTCCAGGACCATCTCCGCCTAAACACTCCCACCATGTTACAAACCCAACCCGACCCATCAGTACTGGAGTATACAGGATTGGTCTAGGCGTGTCTGTTCCTACTACTAAGACATTGCCTATGTGCACGGAACTGTGAGCGTATTGTAGGCCAAGCATTAATATGCATTGTGTATGATGGCTAAATTGGTAGACACCGGATTTGACAAAACTTATCAAAACTTAGCAGGGCAACTAACCAGATTTTGTAACACTAGAGCCAGAGTCCCAGACCCAAAACCTTTATCAGGCATGAAATTTCTGAGTTTTTTTTTAAACGTCTGAAACTGGCAAAAATAATCCAGACTTTTGCCTTTTACCCATTTTCTGCAGATTCGGAGTTCAGGATATATGCCAGAAGCAATTTGGTATTGAAGTTGATCTGAGAGGAGGTATTTGAGAGGTGCACAAAATGGGGTAATCTCGTGTATCCAATGGTCAGTTTTTTTTGGTTCTGCTTTGTTGGTTATTCCCAAGACTTTTAATCTTCCAAGTTCAACCTCACAGTATTACTAATACTCCACATAGACAGTTGAGGTTAAACAACAGAGAAACTAACCCAATTGCAGAATCTACTGTGGTACCCTGCACCCACCAGGAAATCTGGGGACGAGCCCTTTCCCACTGGGCACTGTTTCCTATACTCTGGCACACACATGGCATGGGATGGTAACGGAAGCATGTAGTAAGTGGTAACTTTGCAATTTTTTCTTGCGAGAAAATATGCTGGTTATTGTGAATGCAAAAGAAGAGCAAGTTTGTCGCACGCTGGATTTTGCGGTTTGCAATTGGTGCATAATCCAAGATCAAGACACGGCAATTGGTTTGGACCTTTTAAGCTGATGTTATCTACTGAACCATAAGTCCACACTAATTCTAACACTCTAATTGTGCCAGTGCCACATCCATAAAAAATGCACCGCTGAAAAGCTCATACAGAAGCATCCTTGAACTGATAAAATTAACTATCAAGGGCGATGGATTTTTTTATGTTGAATTGCTAGCAGAGATTTGTTTGCACGAAATGGTAAGGTTATTACCTGCAGTACCCACAAGCTTGGCCTATTTCCATTGAAGCCATTTTTGCACAGGCCCTCTTGTAAATCAGGAGACTCTAAAGGAGTATGAAAGAGAACACAGTTCCGCGGTATTTTTGCTCCTGCTCCTGTCATACCCCAAGTACATAAAGTTATATGTGCTTGTGAAAATCCTTTGCCAAGTTCTCAGTATATAAATTTTGAATTTGCAAATGATAGATAGCATGTATTATTTTTGTCTTCCACAGTTATGAATATAGCGGTAGAGAAGAAGAAACAGATCTTCAATATGCTGTAATAAAAATACAGCTTTGATGAGTCTATTTCTATTTAACTTCGCATAGGACATATCTTACTGTTTTAGATTTGCGAACAATTAGCACTCGGCAGACAAATGAAATATTAAACGCTCATCCAAGATAATAATACATCACAAACAAGCACCAGTTCCTCAAAATGGGACAGAATAAGAATCCGTGTAGCATAATACTAATCACACCTCGGAGTTGCTGGGCTGCTGTACTGAAGATTCTTCCAGGTGATACATCGTACACGATAGACATCCTTGGCCAGCTAAGCCTATATGGGCGAGTATCCATTCCATCTGTCAACAAAACAATCTGTACGGAATAAGCCCTGGTAACAGGCGGAGCAGAAAATATTTGGCATAAAACTGGTTAATTTCAGTACCTGTCTAAAATTGTCTGACCTGCTTATCAAATGTTGCAATTTGTCATCAAGATATCTAGTAGTTAGCCTATAATGCTCTGCAGATGGCATTAAATGAGAGACGAGAGATTCCGAAGCTTGATGTGCCACATCAAGTGAAAGTAGCACAGCAGCATATGGATCAATAAAAAGGGGATCTGCAACCACAAAAATTATTATAAAACATTGGAATCAGCAAACAGTCATATTATTAGTCACATTTATACCTCCAAAAAGAAATGTGGAGTAATACTCTACAGTCTACAAAGATCATTATCCAAGCTTTGCAAAACATGATTCAAACAACTGTATCCAGCTTTACATTGTATGCGACTGAGACATAGTTGCTGTATTACCTACTTCGAAAATCAAATGAGCATGCTAGATGCAACTAGAACGGGAAAACTTAAAGTAATCATGTGAGGGCACAAAATGAAGCATCACACCATGTCATTAAAGGCTTGTCTAGTGCAGCAAACATCAATTTATGGTGCTGAAATAACAAACAAAATGAGATTGTGCTTTGACAAATAAACTCAATACAGGCAGGTATCAATATATTGCCCTAAAATGAACTTGTCCCGTGACCAAGAGAAGGTGAGACATTGACGGCTAAATGGTCTGTGTTTTGTAGCTGAGAACATTATAGCTTGACAATGACACAGAAAAAAATATTAACCTTTGTGGGTAATAGTTAATCAGCATGAAAGGTGATGCCACACATCTCTGAGGATCACAATTTGTGCTGCCAAAAAATACCTAGCTGTTCTTAGTTCTAATTTAGCATATCGAAAGTGAGATGGTACATTGTACGTAGAGATCCACACAAAGTTACATCAGGTGCTGAAACACATTTCTGGGAGGACGCCAATTTGGCAGGCAGAGAGAGAGAGTGTGTGTATGGAGTGCGCTATGTCCGGTAGTCGTTCTGTTGTGTCCTTCTTTCACAGAAAAGGGAAAATAGGTTCAGGATGGCGAAAAGCACAAAACAAGGTCAAACAAGTTAAAAAAAACAGTCAATTGAGAAGGAAGGGGGTACTACGAACAGTTTTCAGAGTTCACAGGTAAACTGAACCAAAACAAAGTTTGAGGTTGTAACGTGAACTCTAGGACAAGTTCAGGGGGTAAAGTGGACTTCTTGGCAAAAGAAACTCCAGCAGATTCACCATACACCCCTTCCCTCCCTAATAACCGCCGATATGGAGGCTAGGGGTGGTAAGGAATAAGAAAACTCGTTGTTCACTCAGTTTATTTTCCATAATAAGTAATCTAGGAGAGATGGCCGAGCGGTTCAAGGCGTAGCACTGGAATTGCTATGTAGCCTTTTGTTTACCGAGGGTTTCAATCCCTCTGTTTCCGTTTTTCTTAATTCATCAACGTTAAGTATCAATGTATCAAATCAAATAACAATTTATTCCAGCAGTAATATCTTATTTTTATTTAATAGAAATTAGAAATTCTGTATAACAAATTACTGGTAAATCACTGTACCCGCCTGAATCTTCAAAAATTAAGGAGTGCACGCCAAGAACTGGGTTGCAGCCTCCATATTTGGAGGTTGGGGGTGCTGTTTTAGAACTGACGCGGCGGGAGTGAACTTTCAGATAAATTCTTCCTCTGCCTGCCAATCGCGCTGCCGCTCGTAGCACTGGGAAACACGCCCAGCAATGGCCACCACCGCGTGTCCAGCCCGCCCGCAGCCATTGCCGCCTATTTTTTTCCGCCGCCCACGCCGTTTCCTGCATCGCGCCTCCGACAGCAATAAAACACCTGCTGCCGAGGCCTCTATAGCCAGTCCTCCCCTCCCCTCATCAGCTCCGACCTCGGCTTTTCAGCGCCGCAGCCTCATGGCTAGGGAAGCCTCCGCCGCCCGCCACCTCAACTGCGCCGCTTGCCACACCCTAGTCTTTGACGAACAAGCATGCTTCGACAAAAAATTCCCCCGAACTTAGCTAGTTTGCAATGTTGTTTAATTTTTTGATGTTGATCTGGCCAAAGTTTTGTTAAAAATCTTTGCCAAACCAAAGTAGAAATTTGGAGTACATGCCAAAAAGGAAAATGGAAAAATTAGGGCTGCGGTTTGGAGAACCTGACTTAGTCCTTGACTTGCCTAAAAGGAAAACAAGTTGCAATTCTAAGCAAATCCAATCAGATCATAGGAGCAAACGCATCCACTCAATTCGTCCAACACGTTGTGCGCAACGCAGTAGTGCCAACACCAGCACAATCGTTGACCCAGACAAGCCGGAACATCCGATGCATATGGCTAACCTGGGCGGCGTGATTCTTCGTCCCTGAGGCGAGTGGCGCGGAGAGCGGCGAGGAGGAGCGGGGCGCGCTGCTCTGGTTCCGGGAGTGGGCCTCCGCGGCCGGGGACGTCGGCGCCGGTGGCGAAGAGCCCCGGTTGCAAGTGCCTACTCTTCGTTTGGCAGTTCCAGGGGGGGAAGGCGGTGGGCGGTGGCCGAGGAAGACGCGGATGTGGCCGGAGCAGCGGCGCGGCGAGCGGCGGCAGCACGGGCATGGTGGTGCGGACGTCACATGCTGGCCTTCCGTCAATCGGGTGACCTGCTATATCCACACACACACACACACACCCTCCCCCAAGTTGCTCCGTGATTCGTGCTGTCCGGGCCAACTTCAAAGCTGACCCTTAGACCCCGTCTAACGCGCCCCGCATCCCTTGGACCGGTCCGAACGGTAAACAGTAACACGAAGCAGACATGGAGTTTGCGGGCGTCAGGACTACTGCCAGGCGCTTTCATGTTGGGCCATACCGGACGCGACCTCTCACTGGAGCCAACATTAAAGTGGAATATCAGTTGAGAGCAAAGCCTGCACGGCGTCCCGTGCACGTGCCTTCTCTCCATCCGCCTCCCTCCATTAAACATGCGCAGTTGCCCAGGAACCTACTGCAACGCCCGCATGCGACGCCACCCGTTCGTTCGTCTGCCAGCTGGCATTAACTATGTGTTGGCCAGAGAAGTATGGTGCCAAGTAGCGATGACAATGGAGGCACCAGGATGGACACCAACAAGAGATGAATCTATGTGGGTTTGGTGCCCTAGCAGAAGCAAGGATGGACAGCACATTAAGGATACAAGGGCCATCATCTTGCTAGTGCTTTGGGGGATATGGAAACATAGAAATGCGGTAGTCTTTAACGGAGCGACACCGGCTACTCATGCGGTGTTGCAAAGAGTGGAATGCGAAGGAAGGGCATGGCAAGCGGCAGGGAAGTTCAAAGGAGACATGGAGAGGTTGTGATGCCCCCGATTAAATCGTACACTCATACACGTAAATGTGTACAATTAAGACCAGGGACTCGGGGGAAGATATCACAACACAACCCTAGACACAAATTAAAATAATACAAGCTTTATATTACAAGCCAGGGGCCTCGAGGGCTCGAATACATAAACTTGATACACAAGCGAGTTAGCGGAAGCAACAATATTTGAGTACAGACATAAGTTAAACAAGGATGTCTCAAGAAGGCAAGCACAAAAGCAACAACGATCGAAAAGGAAAGGCCTCCTGCCTAGGACCTCATAACTACTCCTGATCGTCCACAGTCTCCACGTAGTAGTACGCACCCTCCGGGTACTAGTAGTAGTCGATGGGGATGGCATGTGGCTCCTGAGATCCACCACCTGATCGCAACAACCGGGTATAGGGAAAAAGAGGTAGCAAAGCAACCGTGAGTACTCATCCAAAGTACTCGCAAGCATCAGATCTATTCTAAATATGCATTGGTATCAGAGGAAGGGATGTATCTGTGGACTATACTGCAGAATGCCATAATAGAGGGGAAGGCCTAGCCTATCAAAGACTAGCATCTTGGAGCATTCAGAAGAGTACATAATAGCATTTTAATTAACAAGCATGTTGTAGTATTAACGCCCATAGATCCTTCCTCGACTCCCTGCGAGAAAGCAATCCCGGAGCCAACATATCCATCACATGTCTCAGGTATCCATTTATAGTTGTAAGGATACCACTCTGAGCGTCCGTTACCGTGGACATGGCTATCTGAATAGATAAACTTCCCTGCAGGGGTGCACCACAGTTCCCAACACGCTTGATTACTCTGGCTGGACACACTTTCATGGGTCCATGCCCAACCTCGAAAGATCAACACGTCGTAGTCCTACATAGGCTCCATAGAGAGGTTCTCGCCGGTCTACATCCTAAGCGCTCCGGGGTCTTGGGCCCATCGCCCATTGCACTCCGGGTCGTTGTGTGCAGGGTGGATACCAACGCCACCTCGGATGGTCGGCACGATCCGACCGTGCCACAATGCTGAACTGGACGTCTCACAGAGCTTTCGGCTGATACTACGACGCCGAGTGCCCATAATTGTTCCCGCGTGGTGGTTAGTGCGTATATGCCAGTGGCCAACTCAGATCAAATACCCAAACATGTTAGTGCATTAACAATTAAAAGAAGTGACAGCTGTTGGGACAAGTCCAGAGCTACCACCCCCTCCTAGGTGATACTGCTAAATAGCCAGCCGCCATCGTAGATCTCGCGGGTGCTCTCCGGGCCCGCCCGAGTTCACAGGAATCTCTTGCAGGTGCTCACTGGGCCCGCCTGACTTTAACAAAGGTCTTAAGTAAAGTCAAGGTAACTGTGTGTCCAAAACATCAAGGGGGGAACCCGAGGAATCACCCTCGATGGATTTCACTTGATGTAATCGTCAATCTGAACTTAGGAGGAATCACCCTTGAGGTTCACACTTGAGTTGTTGCACGACAGAGTCGTATCGGGAGTGGTGAAGGAGGAATCACCCTCGACAGACCACGAATGATTAGCTACACTACAGAGTTATCATCATGAGTGCTATACGAGGTATCACCCTCGGTACTCGGTAGTAGCTTTGCAGAGTCATACAACTAAAGGGGGTGAGGTGATGTATTAGGCTCTGGACGTCGATCACGTTGATTGAGTCATCGGTCAGCAAGCCGGGGCAACTGGGACAAGGTGAGGGGTCATTGATGGATCACCAACCAACCTATACTAAGCACTTTAGGATAAGCAGGCAAGGTACAATGAGGAGGTTACAAAAGCAGGTTATGGATCATAATAGACGAAATCAAATACAGTAGCAAAATCTAATGCAAGCCCTAGTTCAGCTTCGTAATAGCCTATCAGTCCGGCCCATAGATATTGGGCCGACGGCCCGAGGACTCCTTAATCCAGGACTCCCTCAGGGAAGAAATAGTAAATACGTAGCACACAGATGCAATACTAAGCATGACATGACGAAACGCGGTGCTAGGGGTGTTCTAACGCGGTGCTACACGATACCAGCGAAGGGGGACCGAAGTTTGACATTTTCGGACAGAGAAAATGGAGGGGAGGGTTCCATGTTCGCTATGCTAGGGGCATGCGACAGACGAACGGACTCCGTATTGGGAATCGTCATATTTTTGTGAGCAACTTTCATGTATAAAACTTTTTCATCCGAGTTACGGATTATTTTATATTATTTTTCAAATATTTAAACAATTTCTGAATTTATTTTAATTCGAAATAAATAGTAAATTGCTAGTTGCACCCAACACAATGTACACAGGGACTGAGAGGTGGGCCAGGGGGACCCGGTTGACCAGTCAACGTTGACTGGTCAACAGGGGGTGGGCCCCCTGTCATTGACTCATTTAACTAATTATAGATTAAATAGTTAGTTAACTAAATTAACTTTTTAATTAATTGATTGATTAATTTACTAATTAATATTATTTTTTAAAACTTTTTGAAAATAAAAGCCAGGGCACTGGGCCCGCTGGAAGTGGCACGAGGCCAGCGGGGCGGGTCCGTGGTAACGGGCGTGGGCGCCCGTCGGTGCCGAAGCCCGCCCGGGCGCGGCCTCCGGCGAGGTCAGGCGAGGCGGCGGCAGTTGCGAACAGTGGCATCGGTGGCGAACAGCGGCAGCAGGTGGGGCACGTAGGCGCGGGCAGGGGCCCGGGACACGGCCGGCATGCGGGGCTGCGGTGGCGGCCGGCGCAGAGGGCGCCACGGCGGGCAGTAGCCAGCATGGGGAAGCGAGAGGAGGCGAGGCCAGGGGATGGAGCGGCTGCGAGGGGGCGGCAGATGCGGTGGGTGATACGTCTCCAACGTATCTATAATTTTTGATTGCTCCGTGCTATTATATTACCCGTTTTGGATGTTTATGGGCTTTACTTTACACTTTTATATCATTTTTGGGACTAACCTACTAACCACAGGCCCAACCCGAATTGCTGTTTTTTGCCTATTTCAGTGTTTCAAAGAAAAGGAAAATCAAACGGAGTCCAAACGGAATGAAACCTTCGGAAGCGATCTTTTTGGAACAAATGCAATCTAGGAGACTTGGAGTGGACGTCAAGAAGCAGCCGAGGCGGCCACGAGGCAGGAGGGAGCGCCCTAGGGGGGTGGGCACACCCCCCACCCTCGTGGGCCCCTCGTGGCTCCCCTGACCTACCTCCTTCACCTATATATATATACACGTACCCTGAAAACATCTAGGAGCACCACGAAAAACTATTTCCACCGCCGCAACCTTCTGTATCCGCGAGATCCCATCTTAGAGCCTTTGTCGGTGCTCCGCCGGAGGGGGAATCGACCATGGAGGGCCTCTACATCATCTCCAAGGCTCTCCGATGAGTTGTGAGTAGTTTACCACAGACCTTCGAGTCCATAGTTACTAGCTAGATGGCTTCTTCTCTCTCTTTGAATCTCAATACAAAGTTCTCCTCGATTTTCTTGGAGATCTATTCGATGTAACTCTTTTTTGCGGTGTGTTTGTCGAGATCCGATGAATTGTGGGTTTATGATCAAGTTTATCTATGAGAAATATTTGAATCTCCTCTGAATCTTTTATGTATGATTGGTTATCTTTGCAAGTCTCTTCGAATTATCAGTTTGGTTTGGCCTACTAGATTGATCTTTCTTGCAATGTGAGAAGTGCTTAGCTTATGTTCCCATGAGATCCCATCTTGGGGCCTTTTCCGGTATCCTGCCGGAGGGGAATTCGATCACGGAGGGCTTCTACATCAACTCTATTTCCCTTCCGATGAAGCGTGAGTAGTTTACCTCAGACCTATGGGTCCATTGCTAGTAGCTAGATGGCTTCTTCTCTCTCTTTGATTCTCAATACCATGCTCTCCTCGATGTTCTTGGAGATCTATCCGATGTAATCTTCTTTTGCGGTGTGTTTGTCAAATCCGATGAATTGTGGATTTATGATCAGCTTATCTATGAATATTATTTGTATCTTCTCTGAATTCTTATATGCATGATTTGATATCTTTGTAATTCTCTTCGAACTATCGGTTTAGTTTGGCCAACTAAATTGGTTTTTCTTGCAATGGGAGAAGTGCTTAGCTTTGGGTCCAATCTTGCGGTGTCCTTTCCCAGTGACAGTAGGGGCAGCAAGGCATGTATTGTATTGTTGCCATCACTACGAAAAGAAGACACATCCGTGACATTTTGGGCCGAACGAATTTTTTTCCTATCATACTTATGACACTTCTATGACGA